TGCCTTACAGAGCTGCCTCCTCTGTTCCTAGGGCAGCAGGGACGATGTGAGCAGCTTTGTGGACCCAGGGCTGGCACTCCAGGATGCACAGGTGAGGCTGGACCCCGCTGGCCACGTGGCCCCACCCCCTGCCATCTGGACTCCAGGGACTGATGCCCGAAAGCCTCACCGGGCACCTCTGCCCATGGGGCTTTATTTGATGCCAGGCCAGGCCCACTCAGCTCAGCCTTTACCCTGTGGGGTCCGAGGAGGAGAGTGACGTTGCTGGGGAGACTCAGGAGGAGGAAGGGGCATGACTGGGGTAGGGGGCACTAAAGCTCTGTCCAGCAGGACCTTGGCGTTCAGTGCTGCCCAGAGGCAGAGTGAGGCCAGAGGAGGGTGGGGGGACTTCCCAGGGTAGCTTCCACCCAACGTAGAGAAGAGCTTTTAAGCCAGAGCAGCTGGAGGACGAGAGCTCGGGGGTCGTGAGCTCAGCATCAGAGCCGGCCACGTAGAGGAGAACGCTGGCCTGCGGATGCACGGGGCTGGCCGTCGGCCCCAGCTCTGGGCCTCCAGGGTTCCGTCCCTCAGCTCCTTGGCCTCCTTCACCAGCTTGTTGTCGCTGTCCCAATGCCAGGATCTGTATGCTGCGGGGGAGAAGATTCGCGGGACTGACGAGATGAAATTCATCACCATCCTGTGCACGCGTAGTGCCACTCACCTGATGAGAGGTGCCGCAGGGGTGCCCTAGCAGATGTCTGGTGTGCGGCCTTGGCAAGGAATGGGGCTGGGGAGAGAGCCAGGGAGCCCTGGACTCTTCCACTGGCAAACACGTGGGAAGTCAGGGTGGCGCATTAACGTGTAGGCTCCGCCTGTCCCCTACCTGGAGCCCTCTCTCCACAGTGTTTGAGGAATATGAGAAAATCGCCAACAAGAGCATCGAGGACAGCATCAAGAGTGAGACCCACGGCTCACTGGAGGAGGCCATGCTCACCGTGGGTAAGCGCAGGGCTCGGCGTGGGCCATGCCAGAGAGCAGAGGGCTGGGAGGCGACAGCAAGCGGCCGGATTCCGAGGGTCACCTGCAAGGGACCACCCCCGGTCCACACTCTCAGCCTGTACCCTGCAGCCCAGGACCCTGGGGCTGTTCCACTCCTATAGTTTCAGTGTGTCCTGCCAAGGAATGTTCTCGGTGCTGCCTGCATGGTGCACAGTGCGGTGTGAGTGTGCACAGGTGAGTGTGACTGTGTGTAAGTGTGTGCAGAAGTTCATGTGGGTGGGTGGGTGTGAGAGTGTCAGGCAGAAGGTGCGTTTGTGAACATAAGTGTGTGAGTGCGTATGTGGGTGTGAGTGTGTGCTGGAGAGACGGTGGGGGTTGTGTATGCACGCACACATTCCTGACTCTGCCAGACCCAGGCCCTGGGTGTGCCCACAGCAGCCACACAGGGAGCATTCAGTTTCTGGTTCCAGTTCTAATTCTGAAGCCCTGAACAAAGTCACCTTTCTGAACCTGAGCCAGGGGCCTGGTCCCTGCCTTAGTTGATGATTGAAGAAGTGACAATATGTGGTTTGAGTCCAAACTGACGCATGTGTGGCCTGACGCTGGGGACCGTTGAGAGCTTCCCCACAGCAGGAGGTTGGGTCCCCTTAGGAGACCCATTCCAGAGCACATCCTCAGGCTCAGAGCTGAGATCATAATAGGAAGAATCATTGCCGAGCAGAGAACTGAGGCCCGGGGTGAGGGGCCTCCCTCCCATGGGAGCCGTGGTCAGGGCTGCAGGGCTGGGCACTCCCCTCCACACCGGCTGCCTCTGTGCAGAGCTGGGCCCGCCTCTTGGGGTGGACGGGGACATCTGAGATTCCGCAGCTGCTTCGACTGCTGTGACATAATCCAGTCTATGTTGGAGCATCTAAGCACACCCCCTGCTCCAGTCTCAGCTTCCACCATCAGCCCCTAGATGGGCTCTGAACACATCCTGCATAGTTTTTGGGCAGGAACTGCAAAGGCACGCAGTACCCCGATGCCAAACACCTCCTGTCCATTTCCCCCTGAAGCCTCATGTCACTCCCACTGCACAGATGGGACAGGAGGCCGAGTAACGAAGACAAGCAGCAGCATCGAGGCAGGGGTTGAACACACGTCCACACTCCTTCTGCAGCCCGAGGTTAAAATGCCAGCCTCCCCCATCCAGATGCCCAGTCTCTGAAGCAGCACCCATGAAAGCAAGCATGGGCCAGCTCCCAGGACCGGATGCCCCTGAGTGCCTTAGTCCTCTGGGGCTGAGCCCCACCTTTTGTATGGGAATTCAACATGCAGGGTTCCTGCTAATAAGTGACACACAGAGAGGGCACTTTGAGGCCAGCGACCACCATACTGTGGCTCCTCTGTGGAGTGGAGTGGCTAGATTATTGGCAGAGCTGTCTCTGCATGTGAGAGCCCAGAGGCTGCTCTGGGTCTGAGCTGTTCTCTGATAGGTCTGAGCTGGTGTCCCCAGAAGAGCCTGGCAGGCTCAGTGCATTTCACCTCTCACCCTTTTACCTGCCTGCCCCAGGTCATTGGAGCTGTGTCCAGTGCCCCAGCCTTCCTTCCCTGTCCCACCCCACTTAACACAAAGCCTCCCGTTATGGCACTAGGCAGGGCATATAAACTAGGCCGAGCTTGCACAATGCTAAGCCTTAAGACCTGAGGCAAGCAATGCCACCCACACCCTCCAGCTGTTAACAGAGCTTTCCTATTTGCCAGTGAAATGCACCCGGAACCTCCACAGCTACTTTGCAGAGAGACTCTACTACGCTATGAAGGTAACTGTCCTTCTGCCCCCCTTACAATCAGCCCTACATGGCACCAATTGCAAAGCCAAGGAGCTCAGAGCCACCACCATCTTCAACACTGGGGTCTTCTCTTATCCCAGCCTCTTGTGTGTCAGAAGGGTTTTGATCCTCACAGGGCAAACTGAGTCTGGGAAAGGGAAGCCACATTCCCTAAAGGTGAATTTGAGCAGGTGCATTCACTGGTGTTCATTGCAATCAACTTTTACAACGATCCCGTGAGGCCCGTGTGGTAATTGACATCTTAGAGATTGTGAAACTAAAGCTTGAGGTCAAAGTCACACAGCTGCTAAGTGGCAGAGCCTCAACTTGAACCAAGCCAGTCCCTTTCATTGTACCATGTGGCCTCCTTGAGAGACTGGATTTGCTACTAGAGATCACAGGTGGGTTTGCAGGAATCAAGGCACGCTTGGCATGGAAAGTTCCAAGGGAGATTGTCACACAGGGCAGCTTAGTTGTCCTACATGTGCTGGGGTGCCAATATGTTTGCCTGTTGTCCAAAAGGCTACATGAGCCACAAAAACAAATGCCCAAACCACTTAGATCAGATGGAATTTCTGGTGTGTGAAACCAAACTGGAAGATAGGTAGTTAAATTAATTCCCTGACACTAAAGTTACCTGCTCTGACTTATGGTTGCTGACACCCCTGAGAGAAGATCTATACCAGAACCCCCCAAGCTCTCTGGCCAGTCTACCCGAGAAGTGAGAGGACTGGGATTCCGCGGCCATGCGGCTGCCTCTGACGTGAGATGGTCAGTGTTGAAAGCGAGCAGGAAGGCCCTGCGTGTGAAATGGCCAGCGAAGTTGACTTTGATGCTGGTGCCGCTCAAGGAAGAAGTACTCTTCCTGGAGCAGGGAGTGTTTTGCATCCAGAATCGGATGTGGCAAACCGAAAACCCACTGCAGTTTGGGGCACTCTGCTTCTAACACGGGAGGCGACGTGGGCAGTGGGTGAGAAGAGGTGAAGGGAACGGAAGCCCTAAGCCACTGAGCAGCCCTCACCGTGCTTACCCCGCTGCAGCAGAGGCTCGCTCCTGCAGCTCCCTCCCTCTGCGAGCCCCAGAATCTGACGGCAAAGGCTTGTCCTTCACTGCAGAGATGGACAGGAAAGGAGAGAGGTGACCCTTGACTGCCACTGTCTTGTCCAGGGAGCAGGGACGCGTGACGGGACCCTGATAAGGAACATCGTTTCAAGGAGCGAGATTGACCTAAATCTTATCAAGTATCAGTTCAAGAAGATGTACGGCAAGACGCTCAGCAGCATGATCATGGTAAGCCATGAGTTCCCAACTCTAACGTGTCTGAACTATGGACATTACTGGGAGACTTAGATGCTGCGACCAATGTCACATGTGCCCTTTCCTTCCCAGTGGGCATCCCATGCTTGCACTCATTACCACGTGTTATGTGCAGGGAACAGTAAGGAGTCAATGTGGCCTGAGCCTGGAGGGACGTATGGGGGCAGGGGTGGAGCACAGAGACCAGGTCATGGAGGCCTCTCTAGGTCTCGCCCAGAAAGTTGGCTTTGCATTGAGTTATGGTTGCCCCTTTGAAAACACACCAGCTCCTTACAGAAGGAACCATATCTGAAGAGTCAATGGGAATAAAATATTTGGTACAAATGTGAGCCCACCACTCAAATCTAGATTTAGGTAATCCTGGCAGCAAACTTCAGTAGATAAATCAGTTAGGTCCCAATGGATGGCCCAACCAGATTCTAATTAGTGAAAGTCCTGGAGCCTTCAAAACACACAGTGATTATCACACTGCTATAACTTCCAGAGAAAGAGCTCGTCTGGCAATCAATGCAAATCGAGACTTGGACAATTTCATTAGCAGAAGTGACATCATGACAGATGCATCTCCAAGTCTTTACTGGCTACCAAGTCGAGTCTAGTTCTCCTACAGGCGTCTACTGTTAACTACATTTTCCAAGAAACACAAAGCTTACGATATGTTTAAAAGACATTTCTGCTGTAAGATGTTTCAGGATGGGCATCAGGTAGGCAGGGCTGAGGAGAGGGTTGGAATGATGGTTTTGTGTTAGGATCCCAGCCAATCTTGGCAGGAGATGGGAAGGCCAGGCACAGACCAGCCCAGGCTGCTGCTGTTGCTGCTGCGTCACCCGCAGGCAGTCTCAACTGTCTGTCATGAATTCTTCCAACCACACATGGTCACTAATAGCCTTGGAGAGATTTCTATTCCTTCTCACCATTCCAGTTACATAGGTCATACTTCAGAAGAACAAAAACGTCGTTAGGTAAAAATGCTCACCTCAGCCCATCCAAGGTGTAGACCCGTCCGAGATGTAGACCCCGCGAGAGAGACAGACTCAGCAGCTGATTACTGCACGACCACTAATGCAGCCCCTCATCTAGAGACCCGTGAAGCCCCTCCTCTTAGGGTTTGGCCTAATGTTGTCACTGAAGAAAACTTAGGTTAAATTGTGAGTAAGTTGACCAAACATTTTCTTTGTAAGATCGACCACTCTCCATTCTACAGATGTCATCAAAGCAAAAATGATTTCCAACAGTAATGTGAGCGTTTAAAACTCCTGCGTAGGAGGAGTCTGTAGGAAAACGTGTAAAAACTCCACACAAACACATCCATTTTAAAAAGCAGACAAAATTGCTTTCCTAAAAAAGAAAACGACATTGCACAAATTGTCTGAAAAGTAGTAAAAACAAAAAAGGGGACATTGAAAATGTAGTTTAAAATCTACAAGATTTCAGGCTCAAAACAGGCAAACTTTTTACTCAACTATCAAGGAATAGTTCATTCCCAAGTGACCTAAACTGCTCCAGAGCATAGAAAAGTGCAACTAGCCTGAGCCCTACCACTAACCACGTGGCCTCGGATGAATCCATTTCCCTGTCTCAGGCCTTTTGTCCTCAACGACGTAAAAAGGAAAGGAGCCGACTTGACCTCGCTCCTTCCTCACTCCGTGTACAGATCCTTGACTAGCCAGTCCTATCAAGACCCAGTCGTAGCTCAGAAATGGGCTCAGCCAGTGGAGCTGTGGGGTCAATCTTATTGGGAGGGGAACACTGCCTGACACCTACCTGAGCCAGCTACTGTGCGGGCAAGCTCACCTTTCTCCTGCTCTTTACCCTCCACCACGTCTCAGCAAGGGGCATATCGTCACCAACAGCATTGCACAAACAAGAGAACCAGTCTCAGAGGAGGTGAAGGGACTTGCCTCACCACAGGGTCAGTGTATGGCCAAACTGTGGTCCAGATCTGCACAGCCCAAAGGCCAGGCTCTCTCCACCCAGGGCCTCGCCTCCAGGCATGGCACAGGGCACCCTGCTTTCAGCCTTGGTTCCCTGAACTGCACTAGCAGGTGTTGAATGAATAGTGGATCATGTGAATAAATGAATGCTTGGGCACACCTGAGTCCCTAATGAAACACAGGAAGAGCCCTGGGGCAGCTGAGAGGGTAAGGGAGCCACCCACATGCCTTCCTTGTGTAAGAGGGGAACCGTCTCTGCAACCCATATAGGTGGTAGAGAATCAAAAGGAGATAGAAAGGAATAGCCTGAAATAAAACAGAAATAAAGAGAGGTCACATAGCATGGAGCCTGTGGCATAGGAACCCTCAGAGGGGTGGGCCAGGCCCCACCCAAGGAGCACAACTCTTAATCAAAACTCCCGGGAGCCAGGCCAGCCTCTCAGTCAGCCTCTTCTCACGCTCCTGTGCCTCCTGTCCTCAGGAAGACACCAGTGGTGACTACAAGAATGCCCTGCTGAGCCTGGTGGGCAGCGACCCCTGAAGGCGCAGAAGAACAGGAGCAAGGCCAAGAAGCCAGCACCTCCAGGCCCTGCTTGCTGGACCTTGGCCGTGGATGGGGCGTGGGGTTGGGGCACCACAGCAGCCTTTCAGTCTTCTATTGCCCAGTTTCCAGTGCTTTCCAGCAGTCTTTCTAACCCAGAGGGCGGGATCAGCCTGGGGTTCCTCTTCCACCTTCCTCCCGGGGCCTTCCCAGGTGTGAGCATAAGGGCAGCTTTCGCACGCCTCGGGCCTGCAGGGGCTCGGGCTCATTTCTTCCTCCCTGGACAGGAGCTTCCCAAGTTTGACTGGTCACAGAGTCACCTGGGCACAGGTTACACAGATATCCTGGCCCTGTGCCCCATCAGCTGAATCAGGGTCTCCAGAGGAGGGACCAGGGAACATGAATTTTTAACCAGCATCTCAGCTGATAGTCTTCTGTGTTGGGCAGCCAGCGAGAAGGCTGTGAGAGCCCTTATGTTTCAGAGCCCTTATGTTTCAGAGCCCAGGCTCACAGGCAGCTGAGAGCAGAACACTGATGCCCATGCCATCTGCGGTGCCGCAGTGTCCACTCACCAGCAGGTAGCACAGAGGAGCCTGGCCAAGCCCGGCAAGCCCGATGCACAACTCTGATCCCAGCAAACTGCAGCTAGGACTGGGTCCCTGGAGGAGCTGAGATGCCTTTGTTGTGGTTTTCAGAATAATAAAGGTTTGTACCTTCAGATCAAGTGTCTCTGGATTTTTAGTAGTGACCAGAGTAGGGCCAATTTAATTTGTCAAGAGCAGAGCTTGGAGGAGCCATGAAGCCTGAGCACACCCATGGGCGTTTCCCTGTGGGAACTCCCTGGGTGAACTGTGCTGTCACCCTGGGGACAACTCTTGTAAGTGAGGATAGTTTCTATTTGCCTCCTGGCTTGTAGCCCAAATCCCCATATCTCAGGGTTGCAAGGGGCTTAGAAGTCATCTAGTCCTATTCCAACCTGCAGCTTGGCTCACCTCCACAGCACCCACCGTGACACCCAGGGGTGGTCCTGGCAGAACTTGGGGTGTACTTGGCTTCCTCCAAAGAGGGGAACTCACTACCTTCTTGGACGGCCCAGTCTTTTTCCAACCAGCGTGATCAGTAGAGTTCTTCCTCTAACTGAGCCACAATCTGCCACCACTGCCCACCTCCATGCCCACTGCTCTCCATCCTGCCATCTAGGGCTACGGCATTCATTCCTTCCCAGTAACAATAAGGCCCACATGTTCCACTAAGACTCTGTCAACACTAAATATTTCCAGTCCCTTCAACTAGCCCTGCTGGAGCCTGGCTTGGGGCCACCGCCTCTGAGCATGCTCCAGTTTGCAAACTCCAAAGTGTGGCCCCAAGGAGTGAGAGCACACCTGGTGGAGGAGGTCAGTGAGACAGGAGCCTCGTGGTCTCTGAGCTCACACGGGTGGGAGGTAGGTTCTGGCTCCGCCCGGCCCTGGCTCCCTCACCCAGTTGCTTGCTCGCGCTCTCTCTGAGCCTCAGTTTCCTTACTTTCCAATACAGAGTGGGATCCCAGTTACAATTGCTGCATGTCAAACTGCCCGGTGCTGGTGGCGTACAACCAGTGTTCTATGATGCACACACCTTCTGTGGGTCAGGCACTCAGCCAGGGTGCTGAGTGGATGGCATGTCTCCACTCCAGCAAGTCGGGGGACTCTGCCAGGAAGACCTGAAGGTTGGGGTGACTCTAGAGCAGGGGGCTGGACTCATCTGGATGAGTCTTCACTCACATGTTGAGTGCTTGGGTGAGATGGCTGGGAAGTTGGGCTCAGCTGGGACTGTCCTCTGGGCCCTTACACGTGGCCTGTCCAACATGGCAGCCTCAGGGTAGCGGGACTGTTTATGTGGTGGCTAGGGCTCCCGGTCTTCCCGTGGACGAGGAGGACACTGCATTTCCTTCTGTGAGGTAGCCTCAGAGTCATGCAGCAACACTTCCTCCATGTCTTATTGGTCAGCAACATCACAAGCCACCCCACCTTCAAGGGAAGGGGACAGAGACCCCATCTGTCAATGAGAAGAGTGTCAAAGAATGTGGAGGTGTCACAAATGGGGCTCGAAATACTTAATGACTGGTACTACACAGCCAGCTCAGCTGAACAGCTGCTGCCTGCAGGGCAGGAGCACTGCCCGAGAGGCCCTGCAGGGCCAGGCGCAGCCCTCAGTGCAGGATCGTGGGCTCGCGTGTGGGGCCCGGGCAGGCTCCCGGCAGTGCCGCGGCGGCAGCCACGTGCCAACATGTCTTGGTCTGCTCAGGCCGACATAGGGTATACCGGGGGGCTTAAACCACACACATGGACTTCCCACAGCTCTGGGTGCTGGAAGTCTAAGGTCAAGGTGCCACCGATTCGGTTCCCGGTGGGGGCAGCCACCTTCTGGACACATCCCCACATGACCTTTCATCGGCGCTTGGACGGACAGAGGACGAACGAGTCTCTCTCTTCCTACACGGTCACTAGTCCCACCGCCCAGGACCTCACGTCAGGGCCCCTTAAAGGCTCCACCTCCAAACGCCGTCACACTGGGGACTGCGGCTCCAGCCACTAAGAGCTGTCTCTACGAGGGGTCTTCAAAAAGTCTGGGGAAAGATTCCTATTGTCTCCTAATTCCACTTTGCCATTAACTTTTTGAAGTCCCACGCGGAATTACTGCCTTAATAACTAACACCTTGTCCCTCTGTCTCCCTGGGAGAAGTCATGAGCCCCTTGAAGGCAGGAACGTTGTTTCATTTGTTTCTGAGTGTTCCGTGCCTAGTAGATGGCAGGCATTCAACCAGTATTTGGAACGGAAGACCCTACCAGCCAGCAGGTCAGCCTGCACAGCCGTGGGGTCAGCCCGAGCCAATCCTTACGCTCTCTGGTTCTCACAAGACCCTCCGGGCCCACTAAGACTCTCTTTGGAAGGAAGCCCACCCGGCCAACCCTAATGGAAATAGTCCTGAGCAGGTCTAACGGGAGACGTGGCTTCCCTCTCTCTTTTGGCACCGACCTGGCCCCAGGCCCTGTTCAAGGTTCTGACGTGGCAGTGACGAGCCCAGCCGAATCTGTCCCCGTTAGAGCCCCTTCGTAAGAGCTTTCTTCCCCGACAACCAGTCCACTGCGCGAGAGGCCGATGGCCAGAACTGGGCACATCCTCATCAGTGCTGGTTTCTTGCTGTCACGGGGGTAGGGCCAGCATGTTGGGCTTGGCCTATTTAGGGCCACCTTCCCGAGGGTTGAATACTTGGGCAAAATCAAGATTCTCCAGGCAACAATTAAAGGCGGGAATAGCCTTGGGGTCAGCAACCCACATTGTCTGTTACTACGGCCAAGCATTCCACCTGCAACCAGGTTGGGGCTGGCAGATAAGCCATCACAGGGAAGGTGACACTCGGGCAGACTTTTGAAGGATGACTCAGTCCTCATCAGGATAGGGAAGAACATTCCAGGTGGAGGGAGGAATACAAACAGTGGCAAGAGAGCTGGTCTGCAGCAGACACGCTAAAGGAGAGGTGGGAGTGACAAAAGATAAAGATTTGTCAGGGGCCCAGTCAGGGAGGACTCACGCTATCAGGCTGAGGAGCTCAAAGGATTTCCAGGGACAAAGGGGAGGCCTCACAGAAGACAGGCAGGAGCGCATCTCAGCTGCGCTTTAGTTAGATTTCTGGCAGCAGGAGGGAATGTGAAGACGCCTCGGTGTCTGGAGGCAGGGAGCTGGCAAGACACACACACCAGCTGCCTCCAGCCTTCCAGCCTAGCACCTCGTGGCCCGGGGATAATTCCTTAGGAAGGGGCTTGCCTTGGCCACATTCTGTCCTGGCCCAGAAAGTCTTTCTAAGTATTTGCAATGTACCCCTAGGCACCGAATCTCTGTCCCCGTAGTGAGGAACAGATACTGATTTCCACAGCTCCTCCCCTGAGCCCATGAGTATCTGAAATACCTCTGTGAGCCCCAGGCCGAGTGTGAGGCTCGGGGCA